TGAGTGACCAAACTACATTAATTGATCAACACAACGCCAGAACTTACATTAAGCGATTGTTAATGTATAAACGACACTGCTGTAGCCCAAATTTTAATGTAACCTTAAAGGTCAATAAAATATAATAGTATATTAAAAACTGAATGTTTTAAATAAATGTTTGTTTCAAGACATGCCTTAATCAAGCTTTCTAGAAAACATGCATAAAAGATCCAAATAGAAATATTTGAGGTTATGTAGCCACATGTTGATAGAGTACATTTTCATGCTCACATGAAAAGATTTAACTTGTACGAAGAACAAATCACGGTCTTTTCGATCTGCATTCATTAAACAGTCCATGTTTTCATAGATATCACGATGATAGAGTACGAATTACTAATTACTTCATAACACAATTTCGATAACTACCAAGACATTCAGCCATTCATAAACAACCTCGTATGTAGTAATTGTAATTGTTTTTTTATGAACACATAGCCATGGTTAACCATTCTCAGTGGTTCACCATTGACAAATAATTAACAAACGAACTCACTGATGCATAAATTCAAGTAGATTGTTTAGAACAGTTCAAATGTAAACGTAAGAGGTTATTATCAGTATGGATGATGACGTGTTTTGTAAGATGTATCAAATGTGTTACAAAAATGTGTGTAAACATTATTGGTATGCTCACCATTTAATAATAGCTCAAGATCGTTTACTTCACTTGTTTTATGCTATATATATACATTCATGTATAAGCATGTCAAACATTTACATCACATTTTACCTAAGCATTTCCAGAATATGTTCACTATCGTTATACAAACATTCTGTTAGAGTAGAGATGTTTGGGTTTATATAAGTGCGAAATGAGGCTTTGGAATAAATCTCAACAAAAACTTAATTTTAACAAAGAATTATGAATCGTTTGAACACTAGAAACGTAAACCTTTTCAGAGCTTACATTGTCTTTGATGCTTCGATTTACAATGAAACTTCAGGAGACATATTGGAAAGTTATTTAGCCATTTTTTAATTTAAAGCAACTGCTATACTGGCAAGATATCAAGCCATTTACGGGGAAGCTAATATAATAAGAGACTTATCATATCTTATTCTCTGTATATAAGAGACAGTAATTGAGGGCATGAAAAACGAGGCTCAAGTTATTTTATCACGGGAGTCTTCAATGTATTATTGATTTGTGGCTACATTAAAATCTAAAACACAGTTAAATTAGTCTATACTGTAAGGTAAGAGCAACGGAATCACAGGATATTATTAGTTCAATTGGTAGAACACAGCTAATCCAAAAGATTTCGCCTCCCGAAAATGAGTCTTGGGGTGTGCTCACACAGTAACTACAGACTTCTAGTAAAATGGAGCAAAAATAATCCTAGTACAGAAGATTCACTTTTACTCACGTTCCCATGAATCGCTTGGTTTTAACTGTAATTTTTATTCAGTTGAAAGCAGTTCTGTTTTAACCACAGTACTATTTTAATAACAATGCATGGATGCCATTGCCTAGCGGTTTTCCACTTCGTCCACATATACTGTTTCTGGTATTCCCGTAGCCGAGTATACTAAGTTTTGTTAAGCCGACCATCTGCCTATTTGGCGAGTTTTCTTAATTAAGTGAAAATGTATGTTATATTAACTCAGTTAACAAATACTAACATCATTTCATTGATCATAAAAAATGGATTATGCTTCAACATGATTGACTAAGTCGCGTGAATACACTATTACTTCCGCAACATCAATGGAATACTAAAAGCTTCATATACTGCATGGATACCTTAACCATGGGCCACAAAATATCGATAGTTCCATCATCAAGAGTTTTATCTTTGTTTATATTAGACCTAAAGGCTTTACTGACTTAAATGAAGTACAAGTCTGACTTTAAAACTGGCAAAATAGAGGTGTTTAGTGAATTGCTAATTATTTTTATAATATTACTGATCACGCATTTTAAAAATTAGCCAGGAAACTGTGACTGATACACTATGAACTATTGTGTAATAAAATAAAATTAATCGACTGCTGGTTCTTCATTTTAGTTGTAAGGCTTTGCTAGACATGGAAAATTAAGATCTCAAGTCGCATACTTGACACATTACGAACACATTTTCTCATTATTTTCAGAGATAAGATGTGAATAAAAGTACTCCATGAATCTAGTATTTTATAGAAAGACTTTTCTTTCCTCAAATTTCTAAATATCGAGTACCTTGACCATTTAGCCGTATTTATCAAACAATACTTTTGGGAGTAAAACTTAATAAAATGAGCGTTTTCTCATCGAGGTATAACAAAACAATACACATTAGCCCAACATTTGCTATTTTTGATGAGAACATAGTATACTTTTTAAACTGACTGATATTTTAGAATAGACGCAAAGTAATTATCGAGTTACAAAACTTCTGTAAATGAGACGGAGTGTCCAGTTAGTTGAAGACTGAGTAGCATTGGTTTCACTTATTTCGGCTCGTAGCAAACACATATATGTTCAGATAGTAGTTAATTCATATGTTCTATTTTCGACGGATTTTGCAGCAAAACACAAGTTTTATATGCTATTTAAAAGTTTCTCACTTGAATACTTCTTACTCTAAAATATATTGTGTTACATCCATAAAATAATATTCCAAGCTCACTAGGAAACGATATGCATTGATCTCCTTTGATATTTCAAGGAGTAGGTTACGTTCTAGATAACTGCTGCAAGTATCTGTTTTTGAAGGTCAATTTTCAGTTCTATGCAGATATATGTAATGTTTTTAGTTCATGGTATACTAGGGTATTAGTTTTATTGAAACAATCAAACCACCTAACCGATCGTGAGCAAAGTATGACCTAACATAGAAATATATCAACCCAAGTTGTAAATTAATGTCACGAAGTAACCACGAAGGGTGTCAAAGCAATAAAAGTAATGTTAATCTTAGTGATAAGAAAGACTGTGCGTAGGAAATATGAACCAAGAAAGAGAAACTGAAAAGTTTAAATTAATTTTGAAGTTTAAAACCTAATAGTAAACAAGGATGAGTTGCATCTGCTTGATTATGACCAATTCCTGCCCATATCACAAAATACCTTCAATCATAGCTACAGTGTTTACCCAAACCCCAAACAAGTTGTCCAAGTCAGTAAAAGTTCTTTGACTAAACAGTCATTGACATTATGAACTGGTGAACTTTCTTCGTTCGGCATTTGTTAACTTTCTTCAAACCTAGTTTTGAACCATTCGAAATCTTCAGTTGAGGCAAGAGGCGATTCAGAATACTTAATATATGCCCAAGCCACCTCAGTCACCGAGGGTTTCCAGCTTTGTCAATTTGTGTGCCCAATTTTTAGCACACCAGGAAGTTTTACATTCCCTCCGAACATCTTAAATACAATTAGCGATCTGCCATAAATAGTTAAAAGTAGCCTTTATATATGTATTTGGAGGAGATTATCACGTCTCCCAAGATAACAGTTAAACCTTGGTCCTGTATGTAAACTATTCATAACTAAACTTTGCACTCTGCGCCATTCGTCTTTCATCTCCGAAAACCCAATCAAGCTCCGCTTAGAATGACAGACTTTGAATATATCACATATTAACAGTATGAAAACATTTGTCCTGAATTCACAAAACAATAGAAAGATCACTAAAATCGTATACACATAACCGTCAAATATGAGAAGTAATTTTGAACCACAAATCGAACATTTGTCGGATTATTAAAGATTTGTGGCTAGATTTTAAGTTTCCCAAATCAAAACAACTTTTCTTGATGTAGACCTTATTGAGATTTAAAATTTTTTTCAATAAATAAAATAGTTTATAAAATACATATAAATATCTTTGTTAATGATTTTTCGATGAAAATTAATACTTTCTCGTGTATGATTTAGCCGCGATTTTTATTCTAGACAGTATCCTCTACAAATAAGTTCTCTAGTAATGAAAAATTGCATTTCCCGTCAGACCAAACTAATGGAAAATGTTGTGGTTACGAACACACTTACATATGATTCCTGCAAAATTTTTTTTCAGTACACTTTGAAAAGAGAGCACCAATCTAATCTGAATGTAATCTTAAAATATACGGACATTAACCGATCGGCGCTTACAATAAAACATAAATGCCTAGATCCCAGGAAACCATGAATTCCCTTAAACCATTTGTGCTCTTCTCTGTATGTTATACAAAAATCTAGACAACTAGAACGTCACCCTTTGTTTAACCTGGAAAGTATATTTCCGCCAAATGAGCCTTTTACCCAAAGCAAAAAGATATTTTTCTACCCCCTGTGAATTAGTCGATTATAGAGCTACTTCGAATACTGCCCTTACTCATGGGTCAGTCTACTGCCACAAAAAGTAGAAATCTATCAAAAGACTGGCCGATCAAGTTTCAGCGTTTTTTTAATTCTCTATGATAACCTACCGTTCAGCATCATGAAATCTCACGCTTCGCTAACGCAATGATAACAAATTGCTATTGATAAGTTATACATATCTTGAGTTGTTGTCCTATTTGTAGGACACTGAAGATGAGCTAAGGCAAATGTATCACATCTCGTTTATTCTCGTATTCAGGAATGAATATGTGTTAAAAGCTGCGTAAATGCAAGTCAGAATTTCAATTATAAGACATACTACTCACTGAAAAATGTTTAAGTCAAATAAAAATGGGGCTTCTGGTTTAAAATCCGAGCTTTTCCACTTAACGGCAAAATGTAACCGTTACCACAATACTCAGTATTTGACAACAGAAACGTTTTCCGCTTAGTTATTTTGCCAACAAAATGTCCCTGATTTTGACCAATTGTTGTGGAAAGGCTTTCATTATTATCTTTTGTAATATCTTTATTTGAAGTATAAGAATTCTCAAGTCACTAGAAACAACATAATATATCTAAATGTTTTTCAGCTAAATTGCAGATAATAACAAATAAATAATCATATAAACTCAAAGAAGTTTAAAAGTTACAGAATACGCTTTTCTCACCTTTATATATCCAACTGGGTCCAAAAGTATATTTTCTGGTTTCAGATCTCGATATATTAGGTCAAGGTAGTGCAAGTATTCGAGAGCTAATATGACCTGGCTTGCGTAAAAACGCGCTGCAGACTCACTGCAATCAAAAAAATGTTAAGAACAAAATCTACCTAAATCGGCCCTTTCTTCGCAGATAAGAAAACATTTCACCTCCAGAGACGTATTCCAGTCCTAGAAACAAGTAAACTTCATTCTACTTACTAGTTTTATAAAGTAACATACAAACCTTGAAACTATATTCCAGCCGAATCAGAAAAGGAAAATCGATGGCTTGTAAAATCCTCTTCTCATTAAGTGTGTGTTGAACTTGTTTAAGTTTTATTATCTATTTCGATGGAAAAATTTAGAGAAGCCACTGATACTTTTGCTTTGTCAAGGATTTTTAACGCGAAAAAGTTGGATGTCTTTTTATGCTGTACAAGCATAACACGACCAAAAGATCCTGTGCCCAAGGTTCGCAGTTGTTTAAATTCATCTAAAGACGCTGGTTTCTTCAACAATTACATCATATATTGTTTCTTTACTTTAACAGGATGTTCATAGTTTTCTAAGTAGTTGCGCTTTGCTGTCTCCAGATACTCAGCGACTACGAGTCAAGGTAACATCTCAAAATCAACATACTTTCTTCAGAAATGCATTTTCTTGCGGCATGAGAATTTCCCATGTGTCAAAACGAACTACCAGCGAGAACAAAAATGTATAACATACCACGCGGTTTATTTTTGTATGTAATTGACCTTCGTTCTGCCATCTCAGTTAAACTAAGAATTTTCTAATCGTTCGATGACATGTAACCAAGTTTTTTTTATCTGCTATAGCTGGACTGACCAGAATATTGCTAATCATTTGACATATTCTTATCAGGCTTTCCGCCTTTGTTTTCTGAATAACGTCGGTGAAATTACACTGGACCTCAGGCTGAATATATTTATACCATAGCAAACTTAAGACTGAAAGTTGAATAACTTGACTAACTTTATGAACACCATAGGTTATGAACATCAAGTGCTCTGTTAGCAGCATGATTACAAAAAATGAGATGGTGAATCTGTAGTTTATATACACACAAACAGTAAATTCTACTTATTAGGTCATATCACTAATATGCTTATTTGTATCCTCCGAAGGTACCAAGAGAGTAGAAAAACGTGGTCATCACTTTGGAGAGAGACAAGACAGGAGTTCATTCTTTAACTGAATCTCTTCTCGGTTAAGCATTTATAATATTTTCATTCAACTAGAGAGGATGGGGACTGTTTATTGATGAAGACATGTAAGCGAAGGTGGACAGATATCCACATACAATATATTTTTTGAGTACATTCTCATGTTTCTAATTGTCATTAATTTAGTAGAAGTTTGTCTACAAAAGCGGAGGTTCGAAATAGCATGAGATTATAAGAGGAAACCCTATAAGGCATACTGTTTCCTCACTAAAAACTTTGAGGTTATTGTTTTGGCCACTTTAGGAGCTAGTAATTCTCAAAATCAACGACCGTTTGCAGTTAAATAAACAAGCCTGAATTGAAAAACACAATGCTCTAGTTACACCTCGCAATTTAAACCAACCAAATTATATAACATTAAGAACAATCATGACGTCATCATGAATTCTTTTTGTTCTAAAAAGCAGAGCATTGTGATTTGTTGACCACATGACTCAAGCCGAAATTACATAATTATTTGATGACTTGTGTGCAGACAGACCTAACTTTTTGAAGGGAATAAGATACTCTGGGATTTTTATGCTATTATTGTGGCCCGACATCATCATCAAAAATTATGTAGAAGTGTCCACAACACATCTGACAGTACTTCTTCGTCACATCAAACATACGATAAGAGAAAGTAAAAAAACCAAAATATCTAAATCTTTATGTCGATATGCCTCAGGTATTAGGAGTAACACCAGTGACACCTATTATGAATCGTACCCACCAAGTGAAACCAAAGGACAGAAGAGAGGAGGTTCGAAGATATATTAGATAGGCTATCAATGTATCGGGGATCGACTGATCTAATCTGGCTAGTGATTGCAGGAAATGTTGAGCACGGCGTTCGCGCTCGTGATCTGGTACAGATGCATAACTGAGCGCCTTCAGCTGAGTGAGTCAATTGTCGAAAACTGATAGAGCTACTTGTTTTAGGGATTTATTTATCGTTACACCTTCTTCATCCATATAGATTCTGTCGGCTCTTACGGACGCGAAACCTTCAAAAAAGGATTCCATACTGTATATAGAATGAATCACCCAAGTTTCTGTGACTGCGATTACATCCGGTTTGGCAGAGTTTAGCTACTTATTGTACAAGCTTCGGGCATCTGTATAACAGATCGGAAGCCCATTTAAATGGTTTCGTGCTGCACCCAGAGTGGTTTCAGCATCATTCCTATTAGCAAAAAGGATTTTGTTTGTTTTTGGAATAAATTTTCATTATAAGTTCTTTATTATATGTAATACAAAGGAAAGCCGAGATGAAGCAAACTGTTAACTGGTGTCTTACGTGCGACAGTCGCTTAAAAGTCCTGGAAATCTTAAACTTCTTCCAGAATGCGCTGTTTTAAGTTTATTTTCCGATACTGCCGAAGTATCAACGTGCGTGTTGGCTGTCGGATGAAGTTTTATAAGTGTTAGAGCCAAGTTGTTCGACTGTACGATAGAAAGTCGATGTGGATAAGACTTCTTTTTTATAAATACGCAGCTTTAGGGCGATCGATGCTGATACTATCGTTAGTTCCTTTCTTATCGACTATATAGTACTTGGGTTCACGTTGAAGAACTTTGAAGGGTCTTTCGTTGTTCGCTGTCCTTTTCGTTCTATCGTAACCATGTTGGAGAACATGGTGCTCAAATTATGGAAAACAGTTTTCTGCTTTTCTTTTTAACAAACCAAATCCACCAAGAGTTAAACATTGACCATCCATTTTTTAGCTTAACCATAAAGCTTTTTTTATCACGCAGAGTAAGGGACTTCTGATGAAGAAGAATCTGGTGTTTGAATGAACTAATGATACCTTTGTACTCGTTGAATGTTTCATTTCGAATTCCAAATGCAGTAGGCAACGCTCCATGGATATCGCGACACTTTTTGCGCTACTTTCTTATTTCTGCTATGTGCACAGCCGAAATTCGAAATGATTTATAAAAAATGTGGAAGTTTATTTTCTATTTTCACAACTAAATGAAAAGGAGTTTTTCCCTTTTGCGGTACATGGTATCGCGGAGTCCTTGAAAATTCATTATTCAGGTGCTGCTTTAATAGTTTTTCCGTATTTGCGTCGCAGACTAGCAATTATTTCCCCTTAAATTTACACTGAGGGTAGACAAATATTTTATTTTTATAAGAAATAACATGATCTAAGCATATATCGTCACAAAATTGTTTCGTCGTCAAAGCTACCAAAACTGCGCACCAAGTAACGATACCATGATAAGATTTATCGTTTTTCCTTCTTCATTGCAACTGGCTTATTTTCACTGTTTATGGCAGAAATAGGTAAATAGTGAAAATATTAGCTGTCCTGAGTTTTGCAAACATTTATATGATATATATATATATAATCATCTATAGATGATTATAACACATACCAAGATAATATTGCCTTCTGCAGTTAGATATATAAGCCACCAAATAATTACATTGCAGGAAACAAATCATAATCATTCGGAAGAGGTATAATTATTTGAAGATTATACCCGAGACTAAGCTAAGATAGCTTTACTTTCTCTCGTACAGAGTTCCAATGTTTAGGCTGCCGGTGTTCTTGCAAAGATAGCTAATAGCAGAAATAAGTAATATTATAATGCGGTTACGAGGAAGCACTGAAATGTACGATTTTCTAATTAAGATATCTTAGTCTCAGGTGACCAGATTGTCCGAGATCATATATGATGATCTTCGAAAATCAATCAAGGCGTGTCTAGCTTACGTGCTGATGACGGACTTAAATAAAATTGGGCATCAGTAATTCCAGATTACACAGGACGATCCAAATCCAGTTCACATGGTAGTCTTTACATATGTTCGTTTTCTACGTTTTCGAAGTGCAACTTTTTCAGAGAAAGAAATAACACAAGCCATGAATGTTGCTAGCCAGACTTTCCTAAGCAACGCAGGAGATAAAGTAAATAAACGTGGATGGCGATCCAAAGAAAGTGTGCTAAATGTACTTTCAATCTGTAATTGAATAACGCTTTCTGTTTTTATGTTAGTTTCTGGTCAACATTTATACTGAAATAATTATTTCCTGTCTATTTTAATTCAAGTGTTCACAGACCTAACTGGAACTTTTCAATTTAGAAAACATTGTTATACCATTGGCACGCATTATGAATTCATAGGTTGGATGATGGCTACGATATGGGGCGTTCGTTCGTCTATCGGCGGCCTGCTTGAATATCTGGGCTACCTGTTTCTGCCATCTGATTATTTCAACAAGTTATCTGTTTTTCATTTGTTTTAATTTATAATTATGTCTATTAATCGCATAACCTATTCAGGCGCTTTTATGAAAAGCCTACGACCTTCCGCTGCACAAGTTACGAAAAAGTACTATAAAAGGCATCGTGGTGGTTGGCAATATGCGTTAAAGAGAATGAATATTAATCGTATGTCGATTCCCGAGCTGCTAAATTCTAACTGCCAATCACTAATCAACAAAGTGGACTATCTGCAATTCTTACTTAGTCAAAATACGTATCGTAATTGTGGTGTCATCACAGTTCAAGAATCTTGGTTGAATGACTTACAGGATGACTGCCTTGTATCACTACGTGATTTTAAAATTTATCGTCAGGATCGATCGAACAATAAAAAGAGGTGTGGTGGCGGTGTAGCTACGTTTGTAAACATAAACTGGTGTCGATCTTCGTTTGTGTGTTTTAAGTTTTCAAATGACTTTATCGACTGTCTAACTCTAAGATGTCGTCCAAAACATCTGAATAAATACAAATATGTTTATGTGACCAATATCTACGTGACTCCAGATTGCACATCATCTGCACTATCTGTTTTTGCTGATGAATTCACTGAGTTCGCTGTTACTGCCTTCAGTGATTCACTTTCAGTTGTATGTGGTGATTTCAATTCATGTGACTGGTGAATCTTTCGAGGTCATAATTAATATGGTTGTGGATACACATTTAAAATCATGCAAACTCCTGGCAGGTGTCATTTTATCAGATACTAGCCATCCCCTTCACTCTTATCTTTCCCCTTGTATATCTTCTGGTAGAACGAGACGTAATTACATTAAAATCCATGCACGCAAGGAAAAGTACAGATGTTCTATAATACCTTATCTAGCAAATATACTCTGTGACGAACAGGTTGTTAGAGTTAATCTAGCCAATAACCTGGATTCTTAACATGACTTTAATTTTAAATGTTGTACTGTTTTTCAGATATTTTTTTTTAAACTTTTTTTTGTCTTTGTTACTATTTTTGTTTGCATAAGTAACTTGTTGAAATACCCTGTGCTGAGAATTCTATATTGTACCAAAATATAATATTGAATAAAGCCATTAATAATAATAATAAAATAATAATAATAATAAATAAGCTGTTAGGCTGTTTTGATACTGCATTTGTAATGGACTGTTTTGTAGAACACTGAATGAAAGTTAAACACCAACCTGATGTACTTAACCAAAAGGCAAGAATAATTCTTAAGAATTGGAAGTTATTTATTAATGGACCATTTGTGCTGGTTTTAAACTTTATTAAACGTCTTCATTTGTAACGCATCAGTCTTTTAATTACGGCAATGCTTATCTAGCGTGACAGACCGGAATTCGACCTAGTAGTATAGTACACCATGTTCAGGTTTGCAGTATTTGGTAAACGGTCTGTATGACTAATCGCATGTGCGCCAACCTAATAAATGTTACAACCATTATCCCTATGTCTCACAACCACAAAAGACTTCAAAGTACGCTCTTCCTGCCGTTACGCTATAAGAACAAGTTAATGGTCATATAAATGAATCTATGTAAACCTTAAAAGCTTACAATTTTAGAACTTGTTATCAAGAAGCATAGCTATGGTCAGTGAGCACAATGGATTCTGACGAAGTAGCTTTATCATTAACACCGACTGAACTCATCACTTGTGCGCATATGTCTTCCGATGCTTCGAGGAATGAACGGATGAGTACTTGTCAAAGATTCACTAAGAGCATGGGTTGAGTGGTAGTTGTTAGTGAACTCTAGCAGATCATCACTCCCTGTAGAGATTGACACGTTGTCCATCGCACGAAAAACCAAGTCCCTTAGGTATTTCCTTGTCCACCGGCTGCTATGTCGAATTAAGTCTGCAATGCTTATAGAGACAGAGGAACACATACTTACCTTCACAAATTAGATCTTTAGAACGTGCATATAAAATATGACAACAGGGCAGCATGTAGTCAGGATTTCGGAACCACAGAAAATAATTTGTACAGCTGACACTTACCTTTCTGAATAATGTTCTTAAGACATGGAATGAACAAAGTATTATGTTGGAATGACTGTGTGTAGACTGTACCGCTGACATTTCGGTCGCTGCCGAATTCATTACGAAAGTGCGCGTATCATAAGTACCTTATATCATGTCTTTAAAGCATTCCAGTAGTCTTACGAGATCTTTGCGTCGTTCTTGCCTGCAAAGAGCGTACATAACAATGCCTTTGCCCAAGACTATCAGTAGCCACTAGCTGGAACACTGGAAAACTTTAAGATAAATTTATTATTAATCGTTACTTACCCACCTTTGGTGATCTGATAAGTCGAGTCAGTACATACTACCTGGGTACAACTGTGAATGCGTTATGGCGATATCGCCCATGGTAAGCCGTTTATGGAACTTCCAAGAAACCAGATGCCGTAAGCTACGAGTTGGCGTATGACTCAAAAGAAACGTTCTTAAATATAAGCCCTCACTTAACGTCAACTGTCGTCTTGAAGGATCTACAGAAATATATCCTTCTGTGTCAGGATGGTTGTGCATGGTCTTGATAGAAGTGACTTTTAGCTCACAGTTTACTTCGCGGAACAAAATCCGGATTGACAATGGCAATATTTCGACCTGTACGAAAAATTCAGTCGAAACAAGACATACGTAGATAACCGACGTCGTCTTCTTTGTCTAGGTTATGCTGATGAGTTAGAATTTGTATGCTCTTCAGAACAATGATGATCACTACCATCATCTACATCCTGAAGACAAGCATCTGACTCTGATGAACTGCGTTTACGTCCATATGTACAGACATATCTCACGAGAAAATACTTTAAAGTTGGATCATCATTGTTTTCTCTACATACTTACATAACGTACTTAGTATGTGTATACTACAAAAATAATTATTGACCAAAGGAGTCATATTATTCAAATCCAAAAATGTCTTGCTTTGACCGCTTCTGAAAAACTTCACGAATTGTCGATGTGACGCACCAATCATCTTGCGACAGTTTGACTTTCAAGTGCTCGCAACCTCCATCAGTGGACGATACTCCCGAAGCGTTGCCAATACAGTACATTCGTTTGTGCTTATCTAATACTTCTTGATCCAATCTCATTATTTTGGGGATTCTTAGTTTATACTATAATTCAAATACTCCTAATTATCACATTGACTTCGCGATGAAATATGTGATGGAATTGTTGGATATACACGACCAAAGAAGATGATGATGTTAATATTGCAGCACATTTCTTCATATTCATCGGTAAAGAAGCATATAACTTATTAAGAACCCTGGCTATGCTGGAAGGGCCTATTTCGCTTCGTTATACAGCTCTCAAGGAAATACTGCTAGATTATGTTAAGTATACAAATTTCGAATGAGGTGAAGGGAGACTTCGTAAAATGATTCATGAGGATATAAAAAATTTCCTTTAACTCTAATACTAATGAGTGCATTCTATATAATACAAAGTTTTTATCCAATAAAATGTCGGACAGACACAGGATGAACTTAAGAAGAAGACGTACAATTAATTACAAACACTTAGACTCCAGTTTAAGCTGTGGCAGATGTGGTGTTTCAATGAACTAATTATTCCTTTGTATTCGTTGAATGCTTGATTTTAAATTTCAAATACAGTACATTCGTTAGTTCTTATCTTGTACTTCTTGACCCAGTGGCGTTGTTTCTGGAATTCTTAGTTCATACTATAATTCACATACTCCTAATCATCACACAATTATATAAATAGTGTGAAACACAGAGCTTGAAGTATGATTGTAGGGTGTGTAACTTATGTCGACAGATATAAGTAGTATGTAACATCGTTCAAACGTTGAATGACTGGTCACTGAAGACTAAATAGATGTAGTTGAATAAAATGAACTGTGAGTCGAAAGAATCATACTAAACGTGAAAGACGGTTGATGGAAGATTTGAAAATGGAGTATTTAATGTGTGGTTCTTTCGTGCCTTAAAGTAACCCTCGTGCTATTGATAGAAGAAACCAGACAAGTAGTGAATAGGTCTTTATTTCGATCTCAGCGCGGTAACAGTGGAGCGTGGGATTATCTGTTCAGACAAACAAAGGCTCTCAACATTCAATATAAGATAATAGGGAATATAACGCTTATACAAAACAAGGAAGTGAATGAATACTTGAACAGTACTGTTTTGGCATATGCTTGATTGTTTGGGGTCAACTCTTAACCAACCAACCTAAGCTGTTACAGTTCTTATATACTAAGAAAATATTCTGTAATTTTGTGTCAAACAACTGACTGGCTGTTCCCACCTGGGTTCTTGTTCACCACATGTCAAGTCTAATCAATTTCATTTTAACAGATTCTATTGAACCTAGGTATTACAGAGTAACTGATCAGTAAACAGTGAAGATAATGGTAACGACATCATTTCATTCTTTTGTGCAGAGCAAGACACTCGTTGAGCTCTTCATGGTTGTAACAACTACACAAAGATATTTAATTATTTTGTTTAATTATTGTACCGTGCTTGCCATTTCTTGGACTCAAATTTCGGCCTTAAGTAGATTTAATTATGATATGGGGGCAATCTACAATATCTAAACCCGGACACACCCTCTAACTAAAGGACTATAATTTAGTAGAAAATGATAAATAAAAAGTAGTAATAATGACAAAGTTATGCAGTTGTGTAAACACTTAGCATAACTTCGTTATTTAATTGAAATATATAAAATTTACCATGCCTCATACTCTGGCCTCTTTTCTTTTAACGTAGACCTGTTCTCCATTGTTGTGATTCACTACGTATTGCACCTAACTTTTTTAATTCGTCTGGATTCAAACTAACGACTGTTCGTTACTACGAAAGTGAGTCTACTGGGTACTGCCTATTGACTAAACATACCTTCATTTGTTCCACTTCAAATAAGTAGGCTATGCCAGCCATTTGTATTTATTTAGACAGGTATTCGGCTTTTGTCTTTCACAAACAGATTTGCTAAACCCAGCATTTATTTTGGTACTTACGAACAACTATAAACATATTGTGTAGTTCTGCCACACGAAAGTTAGATATAAGTTATAAAAATATATTTGATACGTTTGACAGAAGAGGACACTATGTTGACTACTTGTAGTTGGTTTTTTTATCTTTTAGTTTACGGCCGGAATGAGGTTTCTTGCTTGACAAGAACGTTTTATTTCATTAACCAGTAGGTAGTGTCATATTCTTTGACGATTTAGTCACCTAATGTCTCTCAGCTTATTTGTCTACGACCGTTCACCTACTGCTGACTGAATAAACTAATAAAATTCTAATCATACAATCCATGATTTTAGTTGATTTCCGGCCGTGAAGAACAATGAATAATCGATTTCCAGACAACATGATACCTTTGTATCCACAAAATAAATAGCTCTGTAAGTTTTCAACATTGGATGCTGACCATATGTTTTAGTGGACTCATCTAGCTGAAGGCGCTCGGTCATGCATCCGCACCAGATCACGTGTGGTAACGCTGTGCTCAACATCTACCGCAATCGCTAGCGAGATTAGATCAGAGAATTCCGATATATTGGTTATCGCCAAATACACTCTTCCGATCTCCTCGACTCTGTCTTTTGATTTCTCTTGGTGGGTACGAAATATATTAGGTGTTACTGGTAAAAGCGTTGTCAAACACTGGATACCTGTGCCATCTTCACCTTTGAATAGGTGTTGCTTTTGAAAATCTGTTGTTTTAACAGATGATTGAAATATTAACTTTTAACAAAATTGGATTATTTGGGCTATCTTTGTTGACGCGACCTTGATTTCAAATCATGTCAGCGTTGCTTAACACCTTTGAAGATTTGTAATCAAATATGAACAGGCATGTGACTTCATTCACCTTTCACATCTTATCTAAGTTGATGTTTATCCAAAATAATAGAAATCTGATGGTTACTGCTTAAAGATGACGCAAGTATTTTGGATCTGTTTTTAATTTTCAGTCAGTCAACTGCAACATAGGACCAGGCACACATATACATCGATGCTACTAAAATCATTATCCTACTACTGTAGT